TTCCTTACTATCTAAGAGTCTAACAACTCACTTAGTATGCTGTTACAAACACAATCTAAAGGTTCTTTTCTATTTCTCCTCCTTTTTCTTCCTCCTTCATTCTTTATATATTAGGTATCAAATTCTGTACTTTTTGTCTATCCCTTGATTGACTTTGAGGAGAGTTAATTTAATTTTGCATTTGCTTCATAATTAGCTGTTCTACTTTCTTTATTGTGGTTTTATTACCTCTGGTGACAGCAATTCAACCTTAGGAACACTTTCATCTATAGCAGTCCCTCCAAAATAGACTGTAGAGATGGTTTGTGGGAGGTAAATTCTCTCAGCTTTTGCTTATCTGGAAATGGTTTAATCCCTCCTTCAAATTTAAATGATAATCTTGCCAGATAAAGTAATCTTGGTTCCAGGACCTTCTGCTTCATGGCATTAAATACATCATGCCACTCCCTTCTGGCCTGTAAGGTTTCTGCTGAGAAGTCTGATGTTAGCCTGATGGGCTTTCCTTTGTATGTGATCTTATTTCTGTCTCTGGCTGCTTTTAACAGTCTGTCCTTATCCTTGATCTTTCCCATTTTAATTACTATGTCTCTTGATGTTGTCTTCCTTGGGTCCCTTGTGTTGGGAGATCTGTGGATCTCCATGACCTGAGAGACTATGTCCTTCCCCAGACTGGGGAAGTTTTCAGCAACTACCTCCTCAAAGACACTTTCTATCCCTTTCTCTCTCTCTTGTTCTTCTGGTATCCCTATAATGCAAATATTGTTTCGCTTGGCTTGGTCACACAGTTCTCTCAATATTCTTTCATTCTTAGAGATCCTTTTTTCTCTCTGTGCCTCAGCTTCTTTGTAATCCTCTTCTCTAGTTTCTATTTCATTTGTCTCCTCCACTATATCCAACCTGCTTTTAATACCCTCATTGTGCTCTTCAACGATTGGATCTCTGACCTGAATTCACTACTGAGTTCCTGATGTCTTTCTGTATCTCCTTTACAATGTTGATGATTTTTATTTTGAACTCCTTTTCAGGAAGAGTTACGAGGTCCATATCATTTAAAATCTTTCTTGGGAGTTGTATTAATAATTTTACTGTGGACAAGGTTCCTTTGGTGGTTCATGGTTGTATATGGCGCCCTCTAGTGTCCAGAAGCTCTATTCTGGAGCTGCTCAGCCCCTGAAACAATGTCGAGGGTCGCAGGGGAGCGGTACTGCGGGGAGGAAAGAGCTGTTCTCCGCCTCCCGGCTGCTGTGCCTGTCTCCACTGCCTGAGCCAGTGGGCGGGGCACACAGGTGTAGTTTTTTGTCCCAGAGCAGCCGGATATGGATCCCTGGTTTCCACAAGTGGCTGGAATCCCAGTCTCCCCAGAAACTCTGCCTGAATTAACTTTCCAACCGGGTAGTCATGCGAGTCTCATGAAAGCACCATGAAATGTAGGTTTGTGCTCTCAGAGCAGATCTCTGGAGCTAGGTATTCAGCAGTCCCAAACCTTCCACTCCCTCCCTGCTCTGTTTCTCTTCCTCCCGCTGGTAAGCTGGGGTGGGGGAGGGGGAAGGGTCCCATGAGCCACAGTTATGGTACATTACCCTGTTCTCTGAGGTCTGCTCTTTTCTCCAGGTGTGTGCAGTCTGATGCCGTCCTCTTTCCTGTTGCTCTCTCAGGATTAGTTGCACCAACTATATTTTCTAATTGTATTCAGTTTTAGGAGGAAGCCTCTGTCTCTCCTCTCACACCGCCATCTTTAATCCCTCTACCTAGTACATATAAAGCTGCTTGAACGTTTAGGTACTAATCTTTGTGTGGACGTATGCTCCCATTTCTCTAGGAGTACAATAGCTGGATCATGTGGTAGGTGTATCTTTAACTTTTTAAGAAACTACTGAAGTGTTTCAAAGTGGCTGTACCAGTTATATCCCCATCATTAGTGAATGAAAAGCTCCAGTAGCTCCAGATTCCAGTCAACATTTGGTATGGTCAATTTCTAACAAAATGAACATTCATCAAATACCCATTAGGGGCCAGACCCTATATTTACACTATATTTGGTATCTCATTTACACCAAGCAACTGTGATATTATTATTGCACATTTGCAGATGAAGCAACTGAGGCTCAAAGAAAGCAAATGGGTCACTAAGCTAAGAAAAAGCAAAATGGGGATTTGAACCCAGACCAGTTTAAAGCCTGGTATCTTTCCAAAACAACACCCAAAGTAATTAGGTTTATTTGAACTTTTTTTCTTTGTGAAGAACTGCAATGAAGACCCCATTGATGATGAAGAGACTGGCTCATCCACAGTGATGACAATGTAGAAACAACCTTGTTGCCCCTCAGTAGGGGTGTGGACAAATTGTGGTTTATGCAATCAATGTATTACACATCAATCAAAAATCAAAATGAAGAGACTAGGTCTGGAAGTGTCAGCATGGTTAAAGGTCACAAAATATTGACAAGGTTGAAAAAAATCACATTGAAGACAGTACTTTACCATTTATGTACATTTTAAACATACACAAAACATTATGTAATGTTTAAGTATATACATTTATAAGGTACGAGTATAAAAACAAGCATGGAAACCACTTAGCACAGTGGTTAACCAATGGGGGGAATTGCTGTGGAAAGAAAGGCATGCCCCCCTTACACTTTTATCTGTAACACTTAATTTTTTTAACAAGAAAAATAAAACAACTATGGCAAAATACAAACACATTACAGCTGAGTGTAGGTGCACAACTGCTTGTTGTATAGTCTTTTTTTGTATATTTAAAATATTTATTAATTAAAAATAGGTTGACTCACAGAGAAGACAAGTAGTGATTCTACAACATTTTGCTATGCTGATGGACAGTGACTGTAAAGGGGTTTGTGGGGGGGGGACCTGGTATAGGGGAGAGACTAGAAAACATAATATTCTTCATGTAA